CTTCCTTCCTCCTTCCCTCCCTCTCTTCCTTCCTTCCTCCCCCACTTGCTTCCTTCCTCCCTCCCTCCTTCCCCTCCCTTCTTTCCCTTTCTTCTCTTCCTCCTCCCTTCCCTCCCTCCCTTCTTTTTTCCCTTCCTTCCTCCTTCCCTACTCCCTTCCCTCCCTCTCCTCCTCCCTCCCTCTCTTCCATCTTCTCTTCTCCATTATCTTCCTCCCTCCCTCCCTCTCTCCCTTCCTTCCTTTTTTCCTTCCTTCCTCCTTCCCCCCTCCCTCCCTCTCTTCCTCCTCCCTTCTTCCCTCCTCCCTCCCTCCCTCTCTCCCTTCCTTCCTATTTTCCTTCCTTCCTTCCTCTCTCCCTCCCTCCCTCTCTCCCTTCCTTCCTTCCTCTCTCCCTCCCTCCCTCTCTCCCTTCCTTCCTTCCAGACAGGAGAAGTAGGCAGAGGCCAGGCTGGGAAGGGCTCTGAATGCCAAATAGGATTTTAGGTTTGATCCCAGAGGTGATGAGGAGTTCCTGTTTCTTGAGTGAGGGGTTGAGTGCATTGGGAGGATCACTGGCAGCTGAGTGGAGGATGGCCTGGTAGGGCGAGACTGGAGGCAGTGGCTTGTCCCTGCCCGCTCATCCTGGGAGACTCAACCATGTTCTCACCAACGCTGGCCCCGGGGAAGGCCAGTGGGCTGGGGGCCTTCCTCACTGATCGTGTTGGTGATGATCATATAATTAGTATGGATTCCATCGTGATTCTTCCTCAGGCCTCGGACAGAACTAGGGAATCACAGGAGCGCAAGGTCTTAGGGCTAGAGTAAGTAGGGGCCTCAAAGGCCATGGAGTCCGGCTTCAAAGGAGGAAACTAAGGCCTGCAGAGCTTAGTTGACTTGTACCAGAGCCAGGATTTACCTCCAGATGGGGTTTCTTGCTCCCAACTTGTTGGGGTTCAGAGAAGGTAGGTGAGAGAGTTACAGGAAGAGAAGAGAGTGTTTGTGGGGTTTGGGCCACCACCCCTCTGATCCCTGCCTTGTTCTCACAGCTACCTTCTGGGTGAACCCCCAGTTTAAGATCAAACTGGAGGAGGTGGATGATGACCGCGGGGGTCAATCAGACGCGGGCTGCAGCTTCCTCCTGGCGCTCATGCAGAAACACCGGCGCAGAGAGCGCCGCTTTGGTCGGGACATGGAGACCATCGGCTTCGCAGTCTATGAAGTGAGTGCCAGTGTGTGGGGCAGCCCACCTTCCTGTGCCCAACCTTGCCTCAGCTGCCTGCCTTCTTGTGCCCTGTGGCCTGATCCCCAGGGCTGTCGTTAGGATGTGGTCTGATAGAGCCCAAGGGGTCAGGACTGGGAAGGTGCCTAGAGATGGGTGAGTCTCGGAGGGGAGGAAGTGAGGGAGCCCTTGTCCAAGGGCACATGTATGTTCACGTGCCTGCACTCACACACACGCACACTCACACATACACACACACACACATAGAGTTGGGGGTACAGCTAGGATAACAGCCCCGATGTCTCTTGGGACTGAGGTGAGCCTGCTCTGTTCCCTCCATGGTCCCCTTTCATGGCTTTGGACCTGAACTGGCTTCCTGTTGTGAGGATCCCCCTGGGGAGCCCTCTGAGGTCGGAAGCTGAATGATCCTGCTGCAGCGGGTCAGCCAGAAGGAAGGCTTTGGGACCAGACATCCTTGAACCTTCCCTGGACTTGGCAGCTTTGGTCCTCGGAGGACCTCAAACCCAAAGCTCTCCTTGTCGGTTACCAGAATGGGCATCCTCACACCCTGCGTGTCAGGCATGCCTAATTCCAAGGCCCGTTTGCCATTGTCATTTGGTTCAAGGATGGGTTTAGGAAAATGTCTGGCTCCAGGCTCACCATCTCTGACAGGCCTTAGACGGAGCCTTCCACTCCAGGATGCCAGATCTGGGTGGGAGGTCACTGAGGTAGCATGGGCCATCTGGATTCTTGGGGAGGGCCACTGCTCAGGCCTGGGGTGAACAGGTGAATCTTAGAACATTAATGATCCTAGGGTGCAAAGGGGTGGGTGGGGAGTTAGGAAAAGCATCATGCTTTCTCAACTATGAATAGAAGACCCCCCCACACACACACACCCTAGGTTGTAGCCCCCTAGGAAGATGACCTTGGCCTGGGACTTGAGGCAGGAGATGCGGAACTTGTGGAAGTCACTCTGCTCTCCTTGTACTTCCCCAAGGTGACTGGGCTCAGCTCTTGTGCCAAAGCAGTCCCCAAGCTTCCTCTCTCAGAGTCCAGGTGTCCCCCCACCCACCCTTCCCCCTTCCTTGGCTGGGGAGAAGCCACAGACTTCCCTCTCACTGGTCTGTCTTTCTTTCTCTTAACAGGTTCCTGAGAAGGTAAGTGCACCTGCCTGACCCACTTGGTGCTGATGGCCCTGGAGAGCCACCATGCCCCTGAGGCCAGAGCTGCAGATGGGCCAGGGAGAGGCCAAGGGCACAGACCAATGCCGGAATGGGGCCAGCTGCTAGTCTCTGCTGCTGCTCCGTGGCAGACCCACGATTTTGCTGGCGTAATGCGCTCCCCGGGAGAAAGCTCTGCCAGTGCAAGCCTGAAATGGAGGGTCTGAGGGAGTGTTCCCAGGCCAGTGTGGTGAAGTGATTTGCCCAGGGTCACACAGCCCGGATGGGATGGGGGGCTGGACTTGGGTCAGGTCTTCCTGACTCTGAGGCTGACCTCCTGGGCAGCCTCTGGACCATGCTGCCTCCGTTGATATTAATGAGTGTTGCCCACATAATGATAACCAGATGATGAGAGAATATGCGTGAGGTGCTTTCCAGACCATGGGAAGCATCAGCTGTGGTTATCATCGACAACAGCTCTCATTTACGCGCCACTTTGTCTGTGAAGGGTATGCCCTGGTTTACCTCATTTGAACCTTGCAACACCGTTGTGAGGCAGGTGTCATTCCATGACTGCTAGGGAAACTGAGGCTGAGAGAGATGAAGTGACTTGTCCCGAGTCACATGGCTAAGAAGTGTCGGGGGCAGGGTTTGCACTTGGCTCTTCCTGGCTCCGTCTTCTGTGCCACCAAGCTGCCTACGTCTGTGGCACTTGAAGACTGGCAAAGCCTTTCCTCAGAACAGCTCTGCGAGGGAGGTGATGGCAGCATTCTTCCCGTATTATGGAAGAGGAAAACATGCTCAGACTGGGGAAATGACTTGGCTAGGGTCACGCACCTGGGAAGTGTCAGGGGCAGGACGCTTTCTGCTGCACCACTTGAATAATATGGATCTGGGAGAACTGGGTCAAAGTCTTGCCTCTGACGTGCACTTTAGGACTCTGGGCACATCTCTTAACCCCTCTGGATCTCTACTGCTTCCTTTGTTAACTGGGGAGGATGATACCAAGGACTTTCTTCCCAGGGCTGATGTGGACTCCAGAGAGATCCCCAATTTTGTAGATGTGGATCCCTGCCCTCCCCTGATGCACTGCAGACCCCCGTGACCCAGGAATGGTCTTCGTGTATCCTCTTGGCTGGTCCTCTGCTGTGAGGCCAGCTGCCTATTGCAGAACCCGGACTTGAAGCCCTCCCTGCAGGGTTGGGTTTTCTAGAGTTAGCTCCCTGCTAGCAAAGCCTTGGAGAGCTCTTGGCCACCCTCATATCTTAGTTGGTCAGTGGAGGTTCCTAGATCAGAGCTGGTAAGGACCTACCTCAGAGGTTAGAGAGAGTCCAACCGTCTCACTTGGCAGAGGGGCCAGCTGAGGCCCAAGGAGGGCATGTAACTTACTCCAGGTCACAAAATCAGAGACCTTCTATTTAAATATGCTTCCCAAGACCCTCATAGGAACTCCCAGGGAGGTACCCCCTTCTGCCAGTGCAGATTGGCACCTTCTCTGCAATGGATAGTCTTAGAGACATATTGGGGGGGTGGTGGAGGAGAACTGACTTGCCCAGGGTCACGCAATCAGCATGTGTCAGCTAGGATTTGAACCCTGTGGGGGGCAAGATGAGAATTATTGTGCCATTTTTACAGAGATGGGACCTTGGGGTCTAGAGAGGGAGGAGACCTGCGCACGGTCCCATGGTAGGACAGTAATATAGGGAGCTGAGTCTCAGACCTGGCCCTGGGAGGGGGGAAAACCCTTACGCCCCCTTTCTTTCATTGGCAGTTGGTGGGTCAGACTGCTGTGCACCTGAAGCGGGACTTCTTCCTGTCCCACTCATCACTGGCCCGCTCGGAGCAGTTCATCAACCTACGGGAGGTCAGCTCACGCCTGTGCCTGCCTCCTGGCGAGTACATTGTGGTGCCCTCCACCTTCGAGCCCAACAAGGAGGGCGACTTTGTGCTCCGCTTCTTCTCGGAGAAGAAGGCTGGGACCGTGTGAGTGGGAGAGGGAGTAGAAGTGGCCCTGCCCCTCCCCCCAGCGCAGCCCCCAGCTCTCCCCGGTGTCCCCAGCCCTGTTTGCCTCCTCAGGCTCTCCCCCACTGCCTCAGCTCCCCAGGCTTCTGGGGGCTTCCCATACCCTTCTCACTGGTTCTCTCTCTTTCTCTCTTTCTTACTCTCTCTCCCTTTCTGCCTCCCTCCCTCCCTCTGTGTTTCCCTTTCCACAGGGAGCTGGATGAAAAGATTGAGGCTCACCTCCCCGATGAGGTAGGCAGCGCTGCTTCTGTGCTGGGGTGGTGGATGAAAGGTATATTCCTTTCTCTTCTTCCCTTTCTCTCCCTCCCTATCAGGCAGCATTGTGCTGTGGAATTGGAGCTAGGTTCCAATCCTGGCGTTGCCACTAGCTAACTTGGGCAATTCCAGGCCAGTCCTTTCCTTTTTCTGGGCTTCAGTTTCCTTCATCTGGATGATAAGGAAGTTGGATAAGGTAATCTTTAAGGTCACTCCAGATTTGGAGATATGTAGGCTGTCCTAACCTCTCAGCCTCTCTGCAGTTTCTGGGGAAGAGTGGTCTTGGCTCAGGAGGGTGCAGGCTGGGAGATGAAGGACTCTGGCAGCTAACCACCGCTTCCCCCTTGTTCATCACAGAGAGTACTCTCTGAAGACGAGATTGATGACACCTTCAAGAACCTTTTTAAGCAGCTGGCTGGGGTGGTGAGTGGGGCTTTGGAAGAGATGGGGGGGTGGAGGGGCCTGGCTCCCCCAGGGCACACCTCACCGTCCTCTGTACCCATTTCTCACCAGGACATGGAGATCAGTGTCAAGGAACTACAGACCATCCTGAACAGGATTGTTAGCAAACGTGAGTGTCCCTGAGGAGCCCAGCGTTGAGCCCTGATTCCCTCCCTGAACCTGGAATGCTGATATTTTCCCACTTCCTCTTCCTCTCCCAGAGCCAGGACTTGAAGCAACCGCTAGGGCAGATGTCTATGTGTGCACAAGAAAGGACCTTGTTTATTATGATTTTTCAGTAATGCAAGGAAAGGTTCATGGAGCAAGGTCTGGCTTTGGAGTCCAAAGACTTGATGACCTGGGTCTGACACTTACTAACTTTAGGACCATGGACAGGTCCCTTCCCCTCTGTTCCTTCCTCTGTAAAATGAATGGATGAAAGTTGTTTAGGCACTTCCTTTGTGCTAAGCCTGGGGATATAGATCCAGATAACTACACCCAGGTAGTCCCTGCCCTCTCATGTCCCCTTCTGTAGTTCCTACCCTCCCTCCCACCAATACTACTTAATGCTGACTTAACTGGGTCTGCCCCATAGAAGCTGCTTGAGAGCAGGTTCTGTTTCCCTTTTATCCTTGAATCCCCAGTGCCTTGTACAGTGCCTAGCACATAGTAGGAACTTCACAAATGCTTGCTAATGAGTGAATGGATGAGGGAGTGGTTAGATGCTGTTAAAGGTCCCTTCCTACCTGGAATCCTCGGATCCATGATGTTAACTCGCAGGGGACACAATCCTCCAACTTTGTTTTCCCTGACTTCCTCTCTTTCTGCCTCTCCCCGCCCCCCCCAATCTCAAAAATCTTCATCCCTTCCCCCTCCATAGACAAAGACCTTCGGACTAATGGCTTCAGCAAGGAGTCGTGCCGAAGCATGGTGAATCTTATGGATGTATCCTTTGGAGTCAGGGCCAGGGGAACTGCAGGCTTCCCAGCCCCAGGACCTAGCTAGTGGCAGGGAGGAATGGGCAGGGCTTTGGGAAAGCCAGTCTGGGCATGATAGGGGGGCAGTCTAGATGGCACGGGCCAGGAAGGGAGTTCAGTTCAAAGAGTCTTTTTTAACTAATTTACTTTCCCACTATCTCCTTTCCTCCTTTCTCTCACCTCTTCTCCAGAAGAGACAGTGTAGTACAGAGAGAAGAGCACTGCATTGGGAGTCAGAGGACCTGAGTTCAAATCCCACCTCTGCCATTTACTCTTTGTGTGACCTTGGACAAGTCACTTTCTTCTCTGGGTCTCAGTTTTCTCATCTTTAAAACTGAATGTGTGACTAGGTGATCTCTAAGGTCCCTTTGATCCTGTGAAGCCTCTGCCCCCATCCCCTCCCTGCTTTGGGCATTTCCCCATCCAGATCTCTATAGTTCTCTCTTAACGCTGCTTCAGCGAGATGGCAATGGGAAACTGGGGTTGGTTGAGTTTAACATCCTCTGGAACCGAATCAAAAATTACCTGGTAAGGAAATGAGTGTCTTTGTTCTCCCAGCTCCTCAGTCCCTGGGTGGTGTGGCTCTGGGCTGCCAGGCTGCCAATTTAAGGTTGGCTGGCTGGCAGAAGGCGGTGGGCTGTCTCTTACCTGCTTGTTTCCTCACAGTCAGAGGAACCTCTGGGGTTCAGCCTTATAATTCCCCTACACCATAATCTCCCCCAACCCCAAAATCAAAGCATCCAGGCCAGAAGTGGTGATTCTCTTCCCATTGCGTCCTCAGCACCTCATCTGCCTGCTGGCCATGGTCCTAGAGGCCCCTGGGGGAAGATGAAAGGATTGACTTCTCCCTTTTCCTCATCCTCTGTCCCTCCCCTGTAGGACATCTTCCGAAAGTATGACCTAGACAAGTCAGGCAGCATGAGCTCCTATGAGATGCGGATGGCTCTTGAGGCAGCAGGTAAAATCCTGATCTGGTAGGGGTTTGGGGAGGAAACTGCCAACAGGTGATGGGGGCACACCCTATTGGTGGTGGTAATACTCAGCTGCTGGCCAGCTGCTCCTCAGGATGACAAGTACACAGACCCTTACAAGTATCTGATCTAAGAAGAGAAGTAAACTGAGGCCCACAGAGGGGAGGTGGCTTTCCTAAAGTGATACAACTCAGAAGCAAAGACATTGGAACCAAGCCCTGGGACTCCACTCTGTTGCCTCCAACTCCTTCATCTCTAGGGGCTTACTAAAGGGTGACTCCTGTCCTCTCACTGGGTCTCTCCAGGGATCCCTTAATGAGTTAATTATTTCTGAGCCAAAGGTGCCCTGTCTATCCCTGACTCCCAGCAAGTTGATCTCATGGGAGAGGCTCTGTGTATAGTGCCTAGAGCTTCTGGAGTCAGGAGACCCAAGGTGGAGTCTTGTATGTGATGCGTCCTAACTCTGTGACCGTGAATAGCCCAAGTCCAGTGCCCTATCCCCTATACCAGCGGTTTTCAACGAGTGGTCTGGGGACCCCTGTGGGTGTCCCAGATTCTTTCAGGGGTCCATGAATTCAAAGCCTCTGTCTTAATACTAATACATTTTAATTTCTGATGAGGTGAATATTGATGGATATAACTCATGAACAAAAGCTCTTGGTGAGGGTATTCCTCAGTAATTTTTAAGAGTACAAAGGGGTCCTGGGACCAAAGAGTTAGGCCCTTCAGCAAAGGAAACTGAAAAGCATGGTCTGACAGGTAGGAGACCCAGGAGAGAACATGCTTCAGAAGATGAGGCAGGAGGGGGCAGTTACTCAACTGTGTCAAAAGCTACCAAGAGGTCAAGAATCAATGAATGACTGACTGAAAAGAAGTCCCATTAGATTTAGCAATTAAGAGATCATTGGTCATCTTGGAGAGAGCCTTAGTGCAAAAAAGAGTGGGAGGAGCAAAGGTCGAGTTGGGAAATGCCGATGGCTTTTCTTAAGGGTTTGCTTGTGAAAAGGGAAGAGAGCTATCAGGGAAGGTGGGTTCTAGAGAGGAGGTTGGTTTTTTTTTTTTTTTTTTAAGGATGGGACAACTTGGGCATAAGGGAAGGGAGAAGAACATAAGGAGTGATCTATAAGAAAGTGAGAAAACGAGGGTGTGAGAAGGGCAGGGCGTTGATGACAGTAGGAACAAATTTGAATTGTTCTCCAATAGGACCAGTGCAAACAAGCTCCCCAGCCTGGCCCCATGACTGATTTCTGTGCTTCTCTTCCTGGCCCAGGGTACAAGCTGAACAAGAAGCTGTATGAACTGATTATCACCCGCTACTCGGAGCCTGACCTGGCCGTGAACTTTGACAACTTTGTGTGCTGTCTGGTGCGACTGGAGACCATGTTCCGTGAGTACTGCTGTCCCGTCTTTCATTTCCTGGAGGCTCTGGGAAAGTTTGCCCCTTGCCTATGTCTGATGGAGGGCGCTCCTTTCTGCGCCTTGTGTCTGTCCTCCCCGGTCTCTTCTGGGAGCCCCCCTGCACCCCTGCCATACAACAAAGGGAGACATGGGCATGTGTGCACACAGACACACATACGTACATGTTTGTGTGGTCATTTCCGTGTGTATGTTGGGGAAAAGGGATTCGCATCCATCTCTGGCTGGCAGGAACACACTCTGTGGTTTTGGCCTGCCTGACTCATCTGCTTTTCCTTGTACTGCTCACACAGGATTTTTCCAGAGTCTGGATACAGACAGAGATGGAATTGTGAATTTCGACTTGCTTAGGGTAACAGCCTTCTCTTCCCTTTTCCTCCCTCTTGATGTGGGGCCGGGTTGGGGTTGGTTGTGGTTTTTGGGCGGCTCAGGACCCTGGAGGGGTCGGGCACCTGAGTTCTGAGAAGTAAGATACCCAGTGACGAAATGAAAGGGGGAGCTGGGGGCCAGAGCAGCTGAGTCCTAGGAGCAGAGCTGAGCAGGGTTGGGAGGCAGAATGGCCTGGGAGAGTTGGAGAGCACCCCTCCCCAATTTCCACCTTCTTTTCTCTGCTCTGATTTTCTCTCCCTTTCCTCTTCCAGTGGTTACAGTTGACCATGTTTGCGTGAAGTGGATGGGGCAGGCTTCTACCTCTCTCTGCACTGACCCCAGCCTCCTCTTCTGCCTACCCCATGACCCCAGCTTCAAGTGCCTTCTCAGGAGAGATGGGAAGCTGCCCTTCCTCCTGCCTCCCTCCCCTTTGAGCTGCCACGGATATCCTACACTAGATAGGGGCATGCCTCCCTCATGTGTGCCTAAGGCATAGACCTAGTAGGCCCTCCAGGAGGTGGGGAAGGAGCCCCGGGAACTCCAGCCTTGAGCCTGCTCAATCCTTCAGCATGGAAGCCAGGAATACTGCTTGATTTTGTGCCAACCTTGAGTCAGGGGTCCCAGGGCAAGCTGGGACTGCCCCTGCCAGAGGCCACTGCCCAGACAGCTCTCCCCATTGGCCTGCCCACCTGATGCCCACCTGGGATTGAGTTTGGCTTCTAACATCACCTCCAAGAAAGCCCTCTGAGGGCATTGGCCAGCAGACCCCTGCCCTGCACTGTGGATGGACACTCACCTGCCCCCAGTCTGGTCTTCCTTCTGATCTCATACCCTACCCACCAGCTCCCTTTGCCCAGTCCCCTCCTGGCCTGGCCCTTTGAGGAGTCCCTGCACTGGGTTCCAGGAAACCATCAGGACCTTCACATCAAGAAAGCCAAACAGCCCCACTTTGGGGTGACGGCCAGCCCGTGCCTCACTTGGGCCCTGTCCGGCTCCCTCCAGCTCCCTGAAGGCTGCATATCCTGGGAGGGCCAACCTCTTTTTTGTTCCTGCTATTTTTTTTATACTTTGTGATTGTAAGGGGGTCTTTTTAGGGACTGGGTATGTGGTTGTGGGGGCATCTGAGGAGATGCCTAGGGTGAAGGTGGTGGAGGTTGTTTTCTTGTAGATCTCAACCACCTATTCTTATGCCAAAAGAACCCCAAATAAAACAGAAACCCCCTAAGTTCTCCCCCCTTCCAGAGTCTGTTGTGGTTGGCCTGTGAGAAAAACACCCACTTGTCATTATTATTATTTTTTTTGGCGAGGGAATGGGGTGAAGTGACTTGCCCAGGGTCACACAGCTAATAAGTGGCAAGTGTCCGAGGTCAGATTTGAACTCAGGTCTTCCTGAATCCAGGGCTGGTGCTCTATCCACCATGCCATCTAGCTGCCTCCCCACTTGTCATTTTTCAACCCAACTAGCATGTGTTTAGCACCTGCCATTTACCAGGCACTATATTGCAAAGAAAATCTTGGAACTGTCCTTAATGACTTTCCATTCTACTCCTGCACACAGATAAAACAAGACAATGTATTCAGATTAATTTAGGTGTGGTGGTGGTAGAGGTTCTTGTCTGGCTTCCTGCAGAAAGTGGACCCTGAGCTCTGCTTTGAAGGAAGCTATTGATCCTACCTGGTGGAGGTGAGCAGGGGAGAGCATTGCAGACCTGGGGGGAGGGGAGGACTGTGTTAAGGCCTTAAGATGAAACAATCATGTATAAGGGAACAGCAAGTGGGCTCAATTGGCTGAACCATCAAGTAGGAGTTGGGGAAGAATGTTTGGAAGGGCAATTGTAGCCAGATTGGCTGTGGCTTTAAATGCCAAACAGGAGTTTGCATCATTGCTGGAGACAATAAGGGACCACTGAAGCTTCTTGAGCAGGGGGATAAGGAGGTCAGCTCCATGCTCTAGGAATAGGTTTGGAGAAAGGTTTGGCTGGGGAATCATCTAGAAGACTGGTGAGAAAGGAGACAGTGTCTGTGTGACTCTGGGCAAATCATTTAATCCTGTCTGCCTCAGTTTCCTCATCTGTAAAATGAGCTGAAGAAGGAAATGACAAACTGCTCCAGTATCCTTGCCAAGAAAACCCTAAATAGGGTCATGAAGAGTTGGACATGACTGAAAAATTTCTTAACAACCACCTGGAGGCTGGTTTGGCAAGGGGAGGTCCCGGAGGATCAATTGGCAGGAAGGAGACCGAGTGAGAGGCCATTGCAGCAGTCCCAGAGATAGGGACTGAGCTAAAATCAGTAGCACTTGGCAGCTGGGTGCAGTGGGGAGGGTGCATCGAGACTACAGATGACGCTGAAATTGTGACCCAGGATGACCAGACAGATGGAAGAAAATGACATTAAGAAACAGCTAACACTGGCACTGCCCTAAAGTGTGAGGGGCTTCCTCTGGCCATGGTGGGCTCTCCCTCCTTGGGAAGCTTGCCTTCAGGCCATCTGGGTACTTGGGATCCGAGAACGGACGGGAACTTCTTTTAGATCTGGGCGGGACCGGGTGGTCAGTCACGCTCTGTCCAGCTGCTGAGATGCTGTGACTCTGTGAGGGGATATGGGTCTGGGGGAAGGTAAGAAACTTGTCCGTCAGCCTTTGGGCTCTCAGCTGGGGTCTCAGCCGGGAGTGCTGGGGCCATCTGCAAAGGGCTGGCTACCTGGTCTGCTTAGTAGGGAGGGCAGGACCTGGCCGGAGGGCTGAGGCAGCAAAGCAGCTCCCCTGGGCCATCCACGATTCTAGGGGAGCACAGTTAAGGACTGGCTTGGGGCTGGGTGTTGGGCTTTTTTGGGCCTTTGTCTAACAAACACCTGGGATTCACCTTTCTCCTCTGTCCTTTCTGTGTCAAAGATGCCATCTGGAGCCTCATGCTCTGGGCTGTCACACTGTCCCTTTGCTCCAATTAAGTCCTTAACAGCAGTCTCCTCCCCTTGCAGGCCTGGACGTGCTGGCCCTCCCAATCTGTCCCTGACACTCAAGCCTGGAGTTGGCACACACCTGATCCCCCCCAGGGTTTCCTTGGGTAGAGCTACTTCTTTCATGCCATATTCTGGGCGAGGGGAGGCTGCCCCAAGACCTAGTAACACCTGCTGCTTACATAAGTTATGCCCACTCTTCCTGGGATCCCGTGGTTTGAAGTCAGAGATAAGCACTCCCCTGCCTGTAAACACCATTAAACCTCTGGCGACTATGGGCTTATCCTGGAGCATGTACCTGGCAACCAGTTTAAATTGCTAGGAGATAGTGGGGACTTTGGATTTTGAAAACGGACCCCTCTTCCAGTCCCCCTGCCTCCAACATGACACGTATCTTAGGGACCCTGCTCTTGTGAGGCCCTGAGGCCTTCAGAGGCTTTTTGGTAGGCCCACACTAGGGTGGGGTGACTGGGGCTTCACCCTGGGGCACCAACACAGGGAGGGGTGCATCCTACGAAGTCAAAAGAAAGCCATTACTCCACCTCATATTGTAATGTGCTTCTTTATACAACCCTATTCACTCAGTCTCTGACCCACAGTGTCCTGCCCAGTGCCGTGGTGCCCCAGCTTACAACAGGCAATCATACCCACCACTGGGCTATTCCTCACGTATCTTGTACCCTTCTACTCAACTACTGTTGTTCCGGGTGAAAGAATTCTTGGTTTTGGACAGTGTCTATACTAGTGGTTTGAGGGAGCCCCAGAGAAGAGGATTCACTGCAAAGAGCCCTATAATCTTATAGTCTTTTTTGGGGGGAGGATCTGAGTAGATCATGCAATTGAATCTTTGCCGAAGACCCAACAGCCACTGGCTGGTCTGGCTGCAAAAATCTCCTGGTGACTGTCACTTTCTAGTTGTGTGATCCTGGGCAAGTTGGTCCATCTCTTGGAGCCTCAGTTTCCATATTGGTCAAATATGGGCAACGATCCCTGTAGCACTACCCACCGCTGTGGGGTCTTGGGAAGCCCAGCTGAGATCATGGATGAAAAGACTCCAACTTGAGGGTCCCAGAAGTGTCTGTTAGCATCAGTAGCTGGCAGGAAGCCTCAGAGACCAACTTTGGTCCACCCTCTACTTGTACAGGAGTCCCCCTGGTGATCAAAAGATTTTGGGTACAAAGGAAGGAACCCAGCCCATTTTGTAGATGAGGTAAATGAAGGCCAAAGGAAAAAATAACTTGTCACAGGTCACACTGAGAACTGAATCCCTGCCTCTTGAAGGAGCCTTCCAAACAGTCCCTGGCAGGAAGGTGGAAGCTAAGGTTTTCTTCCTAGCTCCCTCCTAGGGGGCCCCTTGCAAGGGTGAGTTGGGCTTATGCATAAGAACATAGCATGTTTTCCTCACAACCCTGTAAGGCAGGTGACATAACTGTGCCCATTTTGTAGATGAGGAAATCGAGGTGTAGCTGAGGTTGACCTCTCAGTCCAGTGACTCGCCCTATATCCCCAGCTCCTGGGTGCCTGTGCCAGGCTCTTTGGGTGAGCCAACTTGGGCTTGTCTGTCCTGTAGTCCAGGAGGCTGGAGAGTGGCCTGCTGCCACGGAGAGTTGGAGGGTTCCTGCCCTACTGTCCACTCTCCTCAGCGACTGGGCCTCATTTCTCCTCTCTGGACTTGTTTCTGTAAAATGAAAGTGTTGGATGAGGGCCTTCCTGGCTCTACCCCTGAGAGCCTGAGAGGAGATGGGGTGGAGGAGGAGGCTGATGGGCCTCCAGCAGTGGCAGGAGGGAGGCTGGGTGCCAGCAGCCCCTGAACCTGCCGGACGGACACCCGAGGCTCCCCATGAGGTGTAACCAGAGTCTCCTGAGTCCAGGTCCTAATCTCTCCATCCCCTGACTCCACAGCTCCCTTACATAATGCCCGCCCAAGGCCAGCTGGCTGCATCTGCTGCTGCTGCCTGCAGGCCTGCTGTCCGGCCCTTGGCTGCCATGGCCTTCACTGAGTTGCTGGACACCCTGGGTGGCGTGGGCCGCTTCCAGATGCTGTACACTGCTCTGCTGTTGTTCCCCTGTTCCCTTCTAGCTTGCCACAATTTTCTCCAAAACTTCACAGCTGCCGTCCCCTGGCATCACTGCCAGGGCCATGCAAACGGGACGTGGAGCACCAACCTCACAGAGGAGAACCAGTGGCGGGTGTCCATACCCATGGACCAGCACCAGAGGCCGGAGCCTTGCCTGCGCTTTGTCCAGCCTCAGTGGGTGCTGTCGGACCCTAATGCCACGGTCGGTGGGGCGGCCACTGAAGGCTGTGAGGACGGATGGACCTATGACCAGAGCGTCTTCCCCTCCACCATCGTAACTGAGGTCAGGAGAGGTCCCAGGCCTTTGGGGACAGGAAGCACGGGAGGAAATGTAGTCACAGAGTCTCTGTTTTTTCCCCGACAGTGGGATCTGGTGTGCAATTCAAGGCCCATGAGGGACCTAGCCCAGACGGTCTACATGGCAGGGGTGCTGGTGGGGGCTGCTGTGTTTGGCAGTGTGGCAGACAGGTAGGCCTCTCCATCCCCATCCCTTGACACTCTTCAATGGAAGATCTGTCTTAAGCACTGAGGGCTTCTCTCTCTCTCTCTCTCTCTCTCTCTCTCTCTCTCTCTCTCTCTCTCTCTTTCTCTCTCCTCTGTCTCTCTGTCTCTCTCTCTCTCTCCTCTTTTTTCTCTCTCTTTTCTCCTTTCTCCTTCTCTCTTCTCTCTCTTTCTCTCTCCCTCCCCTCCTCCCCTTTCTCTCTCTTTCTCTCTCCTCTGTCTCTCTGTCTCTCTGTCTCTGAACCTTTCTTGGCTACACTCTGTTGTCTCCCCTTGGAGGACTTAATCACATAGAATCACGGCATGTCAGAGTAGGAAGGATCCCCTGAGGCTTTGTGCTCTGACTTGTTATGCGAACCTACATTCCCTTTCTCAAACCCCTGACAACTGGTCATCCATCCAGTCTTCCCACAAGGGCCTCTGGTCAGGGTAACCTGCTGGAGAATCAGAGTCACATAAGCCCAAAACCCAGGAATTTACAGGGACCTCAGGGGCCACTGAGACCAGCCCATTCCTGAGAGGGAATCACTGACAGGTCACACCCTACAAGGGGTCATCCAACCCTCTCTTCTCAGTGAGGGGTCTCCTGCTCACTCTGCTGCTGAGTGACTCCGGACAGTAGGAATTCTCTCCTTATAACCAAATCCAAACCTGCCCCCAATATCACTCCCCTCCCATCACAATTGCTCCTCAATCAACTCTTCTC